CATTTGTTGATTCTTGACCTTATTTCCTGAGCAATTGATGTCTGATTTAGAAAATCCTTTCCTACACCTATATCCTGTGAGTTACTACCAATATTTTCTTCTAATGGTTTCAAGGTTTCCAGTTTCACATTGAAGTCTTTGATCCATTTGACATTGAATTTTATGCAAAGTGAAAAATAAGGATTTAGTTTCATTCTACAGGTGGGGATCCAGCTTTGCCAGCACCATTTGTTGAAGATGCTGTCTTTCGTCCATTGTGTGTTCTTGGCACCTTTGTCAATATGAGGTGGCTAAAATGGTGTGTACTCAGGTTTGGATTTTCAATGATGTTCCATTGATCTATGTGTCTATTTTTGCACCAGTACCATGCTGTTTTTATGACTATGGCTCTGTAATATACTTTGAGATCTGGTATAGTAATCCCCCCAGAGTTGCTTTTTGTGCTCAGGGTTGCTTTGGCTATGCGGGGTCTTTTGTGCCTCCATATAAATTTAAGGATGTATATTTCTAATGCCGTGAAATATGTCATGGGATTTTTGATTGAATTTGCATTGAATCCATATATTGCTTTTGGTAGGATGTTCATTTTAACAATATTAATTCTTACAATTCATGAACATGGGATGTCCTTCCATCTCCTGGTGTCCTCCTCAATCTCTTTCTTTAACGATTTAAAATTTTCGTTGTAGAAATCTTTGGTGTCTTTTGTCAGATTTTTTCTAAGCTATTTTAATTTTTTTGCAGCAATTGTGATTGGGAGCATTTCCCTGCATTCTCCAATTGCTTATTATTGGCATATAGAAAGGCTACTGATTTTTGTAGACTGATTTTATAACCTTTCATTATACTGAAAGTGTTGATCAGTTCTAGGACTTTTCTGGTGGAACTCTTGGGATCTCTTAGGTAGAGTATCATATCTTTGCAAAAAGTGATAGTTTGACCTCTTCTTTTTCAATTAGTACTCTTTAATTTCCTACTCTTGTCTTATTGCTCTAGCAAGAGTTTTAAGCCCTATGTCGACAAGGAGTATAGATAGTAGACATCCTAGTCTGGTTCCTGATTATAAAGGGAATGCTTCCAGTTTCTCTCCATTTAGGATGATACTGGCTGTGGGTTTGTTGTATATAACTTTAACTATGTTGAGGTATGTTCCTTCCAGTCCAATTCCCTGTAGAATTTTGAACATAAATGCATGCTGAATTTTGTCAAAAGCCTTTTCTGCATCTATTGAGATGAAAATGTGGTTGTTGTTTTTGAGCCCATTTATTTGATTAATGACGTTTATTGACTTGTGATATTGAACCATCCCTGCATCTCTGGGATAAAGTCTACTTGATCATGGTGAATGTTCTTTTTCATGTGTGTCTGTATGAGGTTTGCAAGTATTATGTTGAGAATTTTTGCATCTGTGTTCATTAAGGATATGGGTCTATAGTTTTCATTTTTGGTTGTGTCTTTACCCAGTTTGGGTATTAGAGTGATATTGGCTTCATAGATGGAATTTGGGAGTTCTGCCTCTGTTTCTATCATTTTGAATAATTTAAGTAGTATTGGTTGGAGGTCTTCTTTAAATGTCTGATAGAATTCGGCTGTAAATCCATCTCGGCCTGGGCTTTTTTTTTTAGTTGGGAGGCTTTGTATTATGATTTTAATTTCCTTACATGTTATGGGTCTGTTTAAACTGTTCTTTTCTTGGTTTAACTTTGCTGGTTCCCATGATTTCAGATATCCATCCATTTCTTTTATACTTTCAGATTTAGTAGCATACAGATTTTTGAAATATTCCCTTATAATGGTCTGGATCTTTTGGGTGTCTGTTGTGATGTTTCCCCTTTCATCACTGATTTTGTTGATTTGGATTTGCTCTTTCTTTCTTTTGGTTAACTGGGCTCAGGGTCTGTCTATCTTGTTCAGCTTTTCAAATAACTAGCTCTTAGATTCACTAAGTCTTTGTATTGTTTTCTTTGTTTCTAGCTCATTAATTTCTGCTCTGATTTTTGTTATTTCTTCTCTTCTGCTGGGTTTGGGCTTCATTTGTTCTTGCCTTTCCAGTGCCTTGAGTTGTAGTGTTAGGTCATTTATTTGGGCTCTTTCTAATTTTTTAATGTACACACTTAGAGCTATAAACTTCCCTTTTAGAACTGCTTTTAAAGTGTCCCAGAGGTTGTGTTGTGTTGTATTGTCCTTTTCGTTGAATTCCAGGAATTCTTTTCTTTCTTAATTTCTCCTTTGACCCACTCATTGTTTGAGCGGGTGTTGTTCAATCACCACAAGTTTGTGTAGTGACCAGGGCTTCATCCATTGTTGATTTTTAGCTTTATTGTTTTGTGGTCTGATAGAATGCATCAAATTATTTCAATATTTTTTATTTGTTGAAGTTTGTTTTGTGGCCCAGTATGTGGTCAATCTTTGTAAAAGTTCCATGAGGCGTTGAGTAGAAAGCATATTCTTTGGTGTTTGGGTGGAATAATCAAAAGATGTCTGTTAGATCCATTTGATGTATGATATCATGTAATTCAGATGTCTCTCTTTATTCTTTGTCCCATTGACCTGTCTAACGGAGACAGTGGGCTATTGACGTACCCTACTATTATTGAGTTTGGGCTAATCTGTGTCTTAAAGTCCTGTAGTGTTGTTTTTATGAATTTGGTTGCACCAGAATTTGGTGCATACATGTTAAGGATTGTAATATCTACTTGGTTACCTGTTCCTTTGATCAGAATGAAGTGACCTCTTACTTGAGTGGTCCAATTCTTCAACTTCATCCTCCAGAGATGATATTCTCTTTTCCAGTTCATTCATTCTAGAGGTGAGGCTTTCCCCTGTTGTTTCAAGTTGGTTTATTGAGTTTTGCACTTCCTTCTTCATTTCTGCCCGAGTTTTCTTCAATGTTTCTATCTCTTTTGTGAATTCATTAATCACTTTATCCCTATCTTCTTTTATCTCTTTGATTTGTTTGTTCGTGTGTTCTTTAAATTCGTTGAATTCCTTGATCATGTTTATGACTGTTCTTTTAGATTCAGTGTCCTGGGTGGTCCTTAGGGGGTTCTCCTTGTAGAATCTTCTTCAGGATTGGTGGACTTTGCTGGGGACATAGTGCTTTGGCTTTACATTTTATTATTCTTTCATTGTGGTTCTGGCATGTGAATTTCTTTTGTTGTTTATGTTTCTGATATGAGAGTTAAGTTGCAGTATGCTTCTGTTTGTATCATCCAGGTGCCTAGATCCTTTCTTTATTGATTATGTAAAGCTGGTTGGCACAGGTTTCAGGTTCTCTCAGGTTTATTTTGGAGGGAACTGATGGCTTCAGATCAGCTATTCAGGGGTACCCACAGAAGCCCAATTCAGGTTCTAGTCAGATACACAGGCTTCCTTCACCACGTGGAGGCAGGATCCTGGCTCTCTCAAGCAGTCTTCTATGTTGTCAACCCTATGACAGAGGGAGGCCAGAGGGAGGCCAGAGGGGGGCCAGAACTTGGCACTCCCTGGAGGTTTGCTGAGATTCCAACCTTAGCCTTCCAAAGCCAGATCTGCCCTGGGGCCTTGAGAGGGGCCTCACAAAATCCCAGGTAGGGGGATGGTATGGTGCAATTAGGGGAGCTCACCAGC